TTCTCAGGATTAGCCTCAATGCCCTAAGAATTTGCCAGAGCCTACGCCGAAGGCACATTTATTGGGGTTCAACCTCATTTGATTCCTCTTCAGAATGGTGAAAGTTTCAGATAGGTTGGTGATGTGTTGGTCAGCATGTTTGCTCTTGACTAGCATATCATCAACGTAAACTTCAATGCTCTTTCCAATATGTTATGCGAACATTGAATTGACTAGTCTCTGATAAGTCGTTCTTGCATTCTTTAGGCCGAAGGGCATGACTTTATAGCAATATAGTCCCCTGTCAGTAGTAAAGGTTGTGTGTTCTTGGTCCGGATGGTTCATGAGGATTTGGTTGTATCCAGAGTAAGCATCCATTAAGCTCAAGAGCTCACACCCTGCCATAGAGTCTATAAGTCTGTCAATGAGAGGAAAATGAAAGCTTTCCTTCGGGCATCCTTTGTTTAGGTCGGTGTAGTCGACACACATTCTCCACAAGACCTTTTGGAGCATGAGACTTTCTTTGGTCGGATTGTTCTTAACAAGGACCACATTTGCTACCCATGTTGGGTAATTGACTTCGTGGACGAAGCTTATGCCTTTGAGTTTTTCAACTTCTACCTTCATTGCTTTGTATCGTTTAGCGTCATAAGATCTTCGCTTCTGTCTCACCGGCTTGGTCTTGGGGTCAATACTCAAGCGATGAAATATAATATCAGGAAAGATGCCTGGCATGTCCTCGTATGACCAGGCGAAGACCTCAGTGTTCTCTTGCAAAAAAGAGATCAATGCCAACCGAATAGGTGGTGACAAGGTGGTGCTAATCTTCACCATGCAATCTGGATAATCTTTTCATATAGAAATCTTCTCCAACTTTTCAACGGGTTGTGCTTGCTAGGTGAAAGAGTCATCTCGATGATCATCGGGTTGACTGTTGCCATCGTGAAGATCCAAGTTGGCTTTGTCCGAGCTGGTCTTTATGACTTGGTCATGTATAGAAAAGGTTTCCTTAGGCACATGCAGGTGTTGTTGCTTAACCGAAGTGTTGTAACATGACCGTGCACTAAGCTGATCTTTTGATGTAACCATTGCCATAGGGGGTTGGAAATTTCATCAACAATATATGTGTGGATACCATGGCCTTGAGATCATTGATGCCTGTGTGTCCAAAGTGCATTGTATATCGTTGGGCAATCAACTACCAGAAAGTTAGTGGTAATGGTAGATGTGTAAGAGCATGTACCAATGATGAAAGGTAAGTGTATGCTCCTTATAGGTTGCACGATATCACCAAAGAAGCTGATCAGAGGAGAAATCGAGCGATCAAGTAAGTGTTCAAATACATTAAGTGCCCTAAAAGCTTCAGCAAACATGATATTGACCGAAGCCCCATGTCTACCAGGATTCGTCGTACTTCAAAGTTGGCTATGTGAGCCTCTAAGATCAGTGGGTCGTTGTGAGGGTAAATGATACCTCTTTCTTCCTCGAGGTAGAAACATATTGGATCCAGTTAGGCTTTTGACACTTGCCTCCCCTGATGTGTTCCACGTGAAACACTTGGTGGTTAGGCCTTAAAGCTCGTTCGCTGTTTTTCATGGCCCTATTAGAAGATTCAGATATGGGGGTGCCGCCGCTTATGGAATATATCACATTCACTTGGCGTTGGTTACGGTTATCCCTTGAAGGGTGAAGAAGGAATCGATCAATTTTTCCTTCACGCGCCAAAGCTTCAATATGATCACAAAGTGTGATACACTTCTCGCCGTCATAGCCGTTATGCTCGTGGTAGCAACAAAACGTGCCTGTGTTCTTCGTGGGCTTGTAACCCGACTGCCTCGGTATTGGCTTTGGTATCAGGTGTGCTATGCTGGGGTAAATGGCCACGCATGTGGCGTTCAAAGGCGTGTATGTCTCATACCTCGGGGTAGGGCCTGTCCTGACACGTGTTTGGCGCACTGTGTTGACTGCCTGGGGGCGAGCATTATCGTGGCGATACCCTTAGTTATCGCGATAGTGTCCCTTTCTTCTTTTACTAAAATAGGACTGGTGAGGATGTAAATCTTTCCTTTTGCCCTGAGATTGATATGTCTGTTGACTTGGCTAAGTATTAAGTAAGCCAGAAGGAGGCACCGTTACCGTTTGGAAGGTCGAGGTCTTCTCATTTGGTTGGATTTAGCTTCCATTCTCTACTTGCTGATAAGGGGTGGCTATGAGGGGTTTCCCTTAATATGTTCTTGCCTCAGCGGAGGCATGGTTGTAAGCCTATGCCATCACCTCATAGTAAGTCTTCCAAGTGTTGGCATTGATCATGTACTTGAAGAAACAATCACGTAGGCCTGCCGTGAAGGCTTTGAGGGCAGTCTTGTCGTCTGCCTCGGCACAACGAGAATACCCATGGCTGAAGCGGCCAGCATACATACGTAATGACTCATTTGCCTTCTGGCGAATAGTGTACAAGTCATCCACAGAGTGCAAGCGATCGGTCAGGAAAATGTGTTGAGAAACAAACAGTTTCCTCAATTCCTCAAATGAGTCTACTGTCTTAGGTGGAAGACAACATACTAATTTAGAGCTCCACCAAAGAGGGTGGAGGGGAAGAGAAGACATCGCTCTTCGTCGGTGTGCATTCGGTATGCCATGGTGGACTCAAAGAGATTAAGGTGTTCAATCGGGTCCTCTTTTCCAGTATAGAGTTGCAAGCCAAGCTTCTACTTTGTCTTTGCTTGGAGGAGGTGTCGAGGATCCTCCTTGTAAGAGAGCCAGGCCTAGGTTGGTTCCAATCAGGTATCTCAGCTTGTCGTTCGGCCTTCAACTTGTTTACTTCCTTAAGGAGCTGTAGGATAAGAGGGTCTTGAGTGGAGTCATGTACCACTGGAGCTTTCTTTCGTAAAACTCCATCTCCTCTTGGAAGTAAGAAGGTTAGATCAAAAGCATGTGATTTTTCCCTGGACTCGCCGTACTGACTTCCAAGGTATGTCTGTCAGAACATCTCTGAGTCCCCTATACCTTCATGTTTCTCTAGGACTTGTTGCCCTTTCCTCAAATTGGTAGCGGGCCTGGGATATGGGAAGGGACCGAGTCTTTCAGAGACCATTGGGTCATTGATCTTCAAACTTACATGGATGGGATTGTCTCAACGTTGCTTTAGGAAGTCTCGACAGTCGTGAAAGATGGCTTTCGATCCTTCCACTCCTTTTGTAAGGAGGTGTCTTCCTCCATTCCTTCTGCTTCGAGTCGAATCAGCTGGGTTGAGAGAAGTCTCATGTTGGTCGCCATTTCGATGAGTAGCTCGCTCCTCAACGGGAATACCCATGTCGAGGGCAAATGACCCTCCGTGTTGGGGGGCACCCAGTTGATGGTTAACTTCCACAGGGGTGATGAGCTCGTGTGTTTTAGTATATCTAGCCTCGTGGAGCATCTCGAAGACCTTCTCATACTGCTCTTGGAGGATCTAATTCTTCATCGCTATCTTATTGTTCTGAGCCTCCAATTCATCGACTTTAGCCTGAAGAGCAAACTTCTTTTGTTCATTCTTTTGTTGATTCGCACCAAGTGCAAGAGAGATGTCATTTTGTGTGCTGTGGCTTCCTTCGCTCCCCATGTTGGAGAGGGATGCCTGGTCAAAAGAAAGTGTACGAATGGTGGAAACCAGCTTAACAAAGCTGAAGAGAGTGGGAATAAGTGTCGTTCCCACAGATGGCACCAAATGTTGATGCACAAAATCGGTGAGGACTTTGGTACAACAGAAAATGTTAAGTTTGTGACCTTAACTAGGTTGCTCCGGTCACTAGTGTGGATAAGTATGTAAATGGATAGGGACAAGAAAGCAAACACAAGATGTACGTGGTTCACCCATATTGGCTACGTCCACAGAGTAGAGGAGTTCTCATTAATTGTGAAGGGTTTACACAAGTACATAGGTTTAAGCTCTCCTTTAGTGAGTACTAGTGAATGATTTAGTACAAATGACATTAGGAAATATTGTGGGAGAATGATCTTCTTTTATAGAAGAAAGTTTCTAGCTTTGTTCTGACATTAACACATGTCGTGTTGTGATTGGCTTCTGATGTTGACACATGTCGCGCTATGATTGGCTTCTGATGTCGACACGTGTCGCACTGTGATTGACCTCTTGGTTGGAGGGATACTCTTTTAAGTCCTTGACGGTATAACGTTGATCGGTATTCAGTAGTTTTGGGATTGGTCAAGTATGGTACAAACAGCGGCTATAACTGACCAGACTAATGTCAATTCTTCTTACATATACCTTGCATTTGTGTTACCCTATATCTTAAGGTCTTTGGTTGAAGGGTACAAAAAGCTCTGCAAATAGCAACTCGGCAGCATAGCAAGGCTTTCTTGATAAATTGTTTAGTGCCTATGCAGGTTCATGTAAGTTGTAATATGTTAGTGATGAGTAACAAAATAGTTTAGTAAAAAGATAACGTGTATTCATTAACTTTGAGTGCATCCATCTTATAAACTGTATTTTTACCACCCAACATTGTCACCTAACAAGACCAGCTCCACGTGAGATTTTTTCTCATCCTCGCCTCAGTAGCATCTCTCCTAGGTTAGGAAGTTATGATAATGTTTATATTTGTCATGTATTGTCCTTACATTAGTAGTAAGTATGTGGATAAGAATTTTGTGATGTATATATATTTTTAGAGGGTGACAATTATGTCATCTAAACGATTAATTTGGTCCTTATAGTTATCAAGTGGTGCTTAAGAGAATGTATGGTCCTCGTCGAATTAGACTGATCTTCTTATCCTCTTGCTGCAAGATTATGATCCATCCTGCGTATATATGGATTCAGTTTTGTTGGAGTGTTGATGTCACTCATGTTTAGACTTCGTTAACAATATTGATTGATTGTTTGGCTAATTAGATAATTTTTTTGGTGTCAACGACTAATTAGAATGATTTAACATGGATTAGAAGCTGCCAATGTGGGATTCCGAACCAGTGGTGTGTATCTAGGCTACATTTTGTACTCTAAATATACAGGGAGCAAATAAAAATCAACGGGTTATCTTTCTGACATAAAACTAAACATTAGTGATTTTCACATACGCTTGCGATTTCTCCTTCTGTACTCCTCCACTTGGTTTTGTCCCTTGATTTTCCTTTGATTTATTGAAATCAAAGGCTAGGACGAAAGAGAAGAGTGTAGAGGAGAAAAAGAGAGTGAGAAAATCACTTCTCAAAACTAAATGGTGATTTAACTTCAATCTGAGGCATCAAGGACTGGCAAACATACAAGCAAAACATCAGCCGCATGCTCCAATTCTGGCTTAGAGATAATCAATGGGGGCACAAGCCTGAGAACATTTCCTTTTCCCGCTGTAATTATGAGCAGGCCAGAATTTCGACAGGCATCCACAAGCGTCGAAGCAGATATATCCAGCTCCACCCCAACAATGAGCCCAAAACCACGTACTTCTTTCACATGTGGATTTGCTCCCAGCTTCCTTGTTAACAGTTCTTTGAAATACTGACCTTTGTTTGAGACGCTCAATAGAAACTCAGGCTTTGAGATTTTGTCCAAAACGGCAAGGGCTGCAGCACAAATAAGCGGCCCTCCAGCGAATGTGCTTCCGTGTTCCCCATGTTATATTGAAGCAGCAACCTTTTCGGTGACTAATGCAGCTCCAATGGGAAGCCCTCCTGCAAGAGGTTTGGCCAGCGTCATTATATCGGGGACTACACCATAAGCTTCGTGCGCCCAGAGATAACCTGTCCTCCCCAAGCCACATTGTACCTAGGAATTAAAAAAGTATAAGGTGCTTGCCACATTGACAATAATATATATACACAAAACTAAACATCCCCTAGAGCTTTACAAATATAAGAATTAAGTTCGAGAACATAAACAAACAATTCTGTGGCACAAAATCACTTAAACAGTTCATATTTCTACCTTGGTTTAAGCAAATTCATAAGCTTACAAACTATTAGTTCCTTCTAAAATGACTACGTAATTAATGATATTTGAAAAAGTGACCAACATCCAAAGAACTAAATTTTAGGATTATCTCAAGAATTTCAGAATATGTTCTCTAAGCTCTTTGTACGCTAGCAAATTGATCAATGCTATGTTGTTACATTCCGGGCAGGCATAGGCGCAAGCTATTTCCATATGGGTCCAAAACGATTCTTATTTTGAATTAAACTAGCTTCATATACATATTGTCAAGATTTTAGAGAGACGAGTCAACGGCCCGCTAGTATCTATACAGATATTCTATCAACGTAACTTGTATCTTGTGTGATTAGAAGTTGAACCATTCAATATAAGTTATATTTAATTTTATCAATTTTCGTGAGATTTTTGTATTCTTTGACATATATTGTTTATGTACCTATTTTGAGACTGATAACTAGCTAGCTTCATATAACAGCCAGTTTCTTGTACAGTCATACCACCAACTTAAATAATTATTTGGACAAGCTGAGTAGCATATGTAAATAGCGATTAGGCTTCCTACCTCATCAAAGACCAGTAGTGACCCCGAATCATCACATGCACCACGCAACGACTGCAAAAATTCTTTAGTTGCGCTATGGACGCCGCCTTCACCCTGGATAGGTTCGACAAAGACGGCAGCAATTTTTCCAGATTGAATTAGTTTTCCCGCAGCATCAATATTTCCATACTCCAAGAAAGTAACTCCAGGCATGACAGGCTCAAATGGTGACCGGTAATGCTCCTTACTCGTCAAAGCAACAGCTCCCATTGTCCTTCCGTGGAAGCTGTTGGTGAAGGAAATGAATTCTGTTGCAGGCTCTTTCTTATCAGGGAAAGAATATCTTTGAAACTTTCTTGCAAATTTTATGGCAGCTTCATTTGCTTCTGTTCCTGAGTTGGAGAAAAAGACACGATCAGCAAATAAGCAAGCCACCAGAGGCTTTGCTAGCTCCACCTGAAGTAACAATATTTGCCGTTTGAGTAAGCAAATGATATTTTAGAGAGAAAAAAAATTATATTGACAAGAAAAGATTTGATACTATATTCCACAATCATATCCCATAAATTACAGATGTTTAGTTTAGAACTCAACATGCATGGTCGGTCATTGAACCAATCAAACAGAAATCAAGTGCAACTAGGGCTTTCTCCACGCAACAATGTATGACATATATTACATCTTGAGTGATTAATATTCTATATTCTAAAAGGAAAGGTGAACCCGTCACATATAATGGTTAAAAGAGCTGATGTTAAACATTATAAATCATTATACTACAACTAATCACAACCAATTCCATATCATTATAAATTATTGCAGTTCTTTTAAAGTATCAACAGGCTAATTCAGACTCAATCCTTAAAAACGCACTAAAACAAAAGAACTACTCAAACACTACAAAGCCATTATTAGAGCACTAAAAATACATAGAGATGCACTAAACAAAGGATGCAGAAGTCACTCCATCCAATTTTTCTAGTGCATTTCTAACACATTTAGCCTAAGTTCTACATAACTTTGAAAATCTATAACCCAAACACTCCATACCAGATTATCAGTGTAATTCGATTTTTAATATTAGTACAAATTCGGTCTTTTATTTAACCTGAGGGATGGAATAGAAGGCATTGCTGACGTGCGTAAGAGTATGGGCTTGCTCTGTGACAACCCGTATCCAATCAGGATCCCCATGTCCAAGCGAATTGACAGCGATCCCAGAATACAAGTCCAAATATTCTCGACCTTCGGGATCGTACAGTTTACAAGTCCAAATATCCACGCAAATTGGGGGTTTGAGATGGAGAGAAGTCATTGCCATTGGCGCTTCGTGTTGTTTTTCGGCAACAGAACCGTCGATTTATGTAGCGTTTTCTGTGAGATCCGGTGGTAAAGATGAATGAAGGGTTTCGAATGCGGGACAAAGCCGCTGTCGTATGAGGCGCGTATGGTTTAAGCAGATAAAAACTTTGAGATGTGAAGAGAAGTCCCATCCATGATCCATGCATCTGGAATGTTTAGTTGGACGTCGGTGTTGAAGGGAGAATATATCGGGAAAGAAGGAGCGGGTCTCATTCTTTTACAAGTTTAATATGGATTTGGATCCTCTCCTGAGCTAATGGAGAGATCCTTCTGACTAAGTATTATGTGCCGTTGGATGAAATTATTATAACTTTAAAAGGACCCAACTGTTTGTAGCTGTTGGATAAAAATCCAACGACCCATAACACTTGGTCAAGAGGATACTCTCCATTAGCTCAGGAGATGATCCAAATCCGTTTAATATTTGTGTCATTGTGTGATTGGTCATGTTCCCATTATGTCTGAGCTTCTATGGAGTCTGGACAATTAACCAATTGTTATGAAATTGAGAATATGTATGTAGTAGAATAAAGTAAAAAAGACTCGATATTTAATAAGTTTGGCAAGCATGCTTATATCTTCGGAGCAGCAGTAGTTTCTTTCTAATTATTTGAAATAATAAAAGTACCAAGATAACTCTCACTATTTTTCTTTCTTCTCTCTAGCCTTATGGCTTACTGATATATTTTTGTTCTATGTCCTCTGCTGTTTCTTCTCCTCTTGGTTTTATAGGCAAATCACTAACCATCTTTTTTATATTTAACCCCACCTTTCCATTAGCCAATAATATTAAATACAAAAGTTAGATGGCTAACCTACCACCGATGACTTTGAGAGATTTTTCAATGTGACCGTCATATGAAGTGGTACACCACGTGTCCCTATATAAATGGTGGGTTATGTGTGTTAAAGGGTTAATAACTTAAAAATTAAAACTTTCCACCACTTGCATAAAAACACGTGGTGTACCATCCGTGTTCCCGTTACAACTAAAAAATTCTCAATGACTTGATGTCCACAGTCTTCAAGTGGATACTCACACGACTTTTTATAGTGGACATTCACACTGCTTTTACAACACTAATAAAAATTGCCTATTTGTAGAAGCGAATGATGCAAGAAAAGGGGAAAGGTGGTTAGTGAGGAGAAGAAAAAAAAGGGAAATTTAGTAAGTAGCCATTTTAAAGACTACCTATTGAAATATCTCATTTTCTAATGTTTATAAAAATAACCAAAATTGGATTTAAAAAGACTTATTGCCCTAAGTTTAAAACTCTTCCTTGTTCCAGCATCGTGGTGTTTCTTTTAAACCCTGATCCCATTGTTAAACAACCACCCACAACCCCACAGTGAACGATCTCCACCACACGATGATTGCTATCTGAGTCGTACTTGAGTGAACGCAAGGCTGCGACTCCAGACCTTCTTCCTACTGATACAAAGTCATTTGTACGACTCCCTCTACATTGCCTTATTCTATTAACTAAATACGTCAAGATAGCATTGTTCTATTAACTTAAGACGTCACGATAGCATTGTTCTATTAACTTATGACGTCACGATAGCAGTGAATCCATATCATAAAAGTCTGGCTCCATCAGGGGAGAATCAGTGCAATTTGCCCATAAATTGAATGACTATAACGGACATTTACCTCATAGCAAGGGCAAAAGCACTTTTCCAAATGGTAGCACAATATGCATCTCACAACTGAAATTTCATAACTTGGCTATCAGTGAAGGCAAATACATCAGAGATTCAGAGCAATAATTTATGCCAACAATTCATTACAAACGTAACATTCACAATTGAACACTTTACAGTAATAAGCCATATAAATATATCAATATTACATCTGCATTCTGGAATCTGGATATATTAATGGTTGCAGAAACCACACTGCCGATACCGACCTTGATACTTAAGGCAAATCTGATCCGGTCAGGTGGTAACAAGCTCAATACATCCATGACAAGTCTTGTCTGAAAGATACGGACTTCGCAGCTCCAAGAACTCCTCTTTCAGAAATTTGAGGACAATCTTCCACAGCTAACAATTCCAATTTGTATGACCCTGCAAGCGGCTTCAACCCATCATCAGAAACCCCTAAACACTTGATTAAACGCAAAATGGACAACCGGGGAAACTGGCCCACGAGCTGCAGCCCCTCATCGCTTATCTCTTGGCATCTGATTAGCTCCAAGGTCTCCAGATGCAGAGCCAAGCAAAGAGCTTCCATACCAACATCATTAAAGGAATACACTTGGTCAAAAGCAAGTTCCCGCACAGGGCACTTCTGAATCAAATTGAGGATTCCATCTAATGTAAATGAGGAAAAAGAAGGGAACTCCCCGTCGGAGTAAGATATCCTGACAGATTCAAGCATCGAACAGTTCTGCGCCACGGCTTTTAGACATTCATCAGTTAATCTCAATGGGTTATTCATCAAAAGAGGAAGTGAGAAATCTGACGGAACGCGAAGGAAAATGGACCGAAGATTTTTTGACTTTTGGGCTAAGCCTATGATGTCACAGTCCCTTACCCCAACACACATGTCCAAGTGAATCTTCTCCAAATTCTTGCACTTCCCCAGTACACAAGCAAGCCCCCGCCCCGGGCTGATGATGCAATTTACCAAGCTAAGTTCCACCATATTATCACATGGGACCCACTGCTTTTGCCATCGATCCACAGCTAAACGATCATAAACTTTCATATATCTGTAATTAACATCAACCTCAAATTGCAAGCATTTTAATTTTTTCCAACTGGAACCTAGCTTAATCAAATCACCCTCCCCAATAGCTCTGCAATTCTTAATTGAGAGATCTTCGAGAGTTTCAAGCTTTCCAAGATATTCAAGCCACTCAAAACTGCTAATATTTAAGCATCGGATAAGATGGAGGGTAGTGAGGTTCTTGCAGCCCACAACAACAGATAATATGCCACATCCAGTTATCCTTGCGTTGAAATTCAACTTCAAAGCTGAAAGTTTTGAGCAAGAAGACAAGTGACGGATACCCACATCCGTGATGAATGTGCAGTAGCTTAATGTGAGATCCACCAGAGAAGGACAGTAGTTGGAAAGAATAAGAAGCCCTTGGTCATCCAACTGCTTTCCTAGTTTGGACATCCAACCGGCATAAGTTATCTCGACCCTTGTCAAGTTAGCAAACCTACTGCAGAGAGATGTCAAAGCTTCATTTGCAGGGTCTAATCCACAACCAACCCGAAGAGATTGTCTCTGTTCATTATCCAATCCGTGCAGGCGCTTACATGCCAAAGAAACAGAGTTTCGGTCAGTGGTTTTCTTAATCCTGCTCAAGATCTCCCATAATAACTGGTCCGGCAGAAAATCCATCAAAACTCACAAATTTCCCTCTTTAAAATAGATTTGCACCACCTGATATCACAACAAAAACCAATACGATAAATTTTAGTCCAATACGGAGACAAAGGTAACTTGGTACAGGAATGCATATAATAAAACCTCGGTAGATGCTGGTTAAAACAAGAAGATATCTCTCTTTCAAAAACTTGAAATGAAAATCTGAATTTGCATAAACACTGATGAGAATTTCTCACATGTGCGCTCTCCCGTTTTTTGATGAATTGAAAAGAAAATGCAAGCAGTTCATCCAAACACCCTGACTGACACGGAAGCCATTCAAATAGCACAGATACCAACAAACTAGGTTCTTCGAACACAGTTTCTGTAACGAAATAACATAAAACTAACAATTATTTGATACGAAGTTTTAGTTTCCTGCTTAGAATTTACAGACTCAAGAACAAAATCCAGGGAAACCCAACAAACCGGTTGTCCACGATCGACGAATCAACCAACCACAGAAAGCAAATTCCCCAATATCGAACGGCGAAATATTTAATCACCCAAAGATGATTGTTCAGCTCAGAACTTCCATGTCCGACAAATTATTGATGTCCCTAATTAATTCAGAAAACCCATAAAATAAAAAGTTATACTTTCTTTACTTGATCGAACCAAGGTGATGATATTCCATTTGCCCATAAGACCAAAAGACAACCCACACAATTTTCACAAATTAAACAAAAAAAATATATCAAAATAATTTGACAATTAACCGTTAATCATGCAAATGCAAGAACAATAATACAAGAAGAGAGACAGATTCAAGCAAATAACAGTAAATCGAACAATACAAGGTACACAAAAAAAGGGGGACACATTAATTTCCTTCAAAGATTCAGCTTAATTAAGGTTAATCTCCGAGGAATTGAGAGGAAACGTAAGAGATCTTACCATATAATTCGGACAGAAGCGGAGAGACAAAGATGACGATGATGATGGTGCTAAGGATTAAGGAAGGCGGAGGAAGATGGAAATCTAACCATTCTTCTTCTTCTTCTTCTCTTCATTTTTTGGTCGGTACAGAAATTAGAAAACCTTTTTATTGATAATTTGATATCTGATTGCCAATTGGCTTCAGAAGATCCAAATCCTGTGGGGTTGGTTGCTCACAACATCACAAAAGAGTGGTAGGTCATTCTGGATGGTTCAAGTGGCAGACACGCAACGCAAGGGAAAAACAACAAACATGCGTCCGTCCCTTTGTACTCAAACTCGGAAATCTCTCCCTATAATTTTCACAACTTTTGACACACATTTTTATTGCGGTTAATTAGTTATGTATTTCAACGATTTATACAATTTTTAACATCGGTAAAATACTTTACATAGTCTACCCCACAAAAACGTTTATAAAAAATGGTGTCAAAGAACCACCCCTATTAAAAACCAAACTTTACGATAACTTGGACAAAGTGGGCGTTTAAGTAGTGTTGTGAGTAATCATATACACAAATTTGTAATACAAATCCTCTTAACATCATTTGTACAAGTAAGTATCGATCCCCCTTTACCGGTCACCATCAAAAGCCGGGTAAAGGACCGTTTGAGCATTGTTTTGGAGGAATGAGAATGCAGAAATTTTCAATAACCATCACCCATCAACATAATTTTGTGACTAAGCAAGCCGGTATCCCCCTTACCGTACACAACTTGGCCTTAAAAAACTAGAGCAGAAAAAACCGGGCACTCTAGTTGACACATAACCTACGAAATGGAAGCAGCTCGTGAAATGGAACAAGAGTAACGCATCGTTCCTTCAACCTTGGCGTCTCCTCCTCCTGTTATTAGTCTTTGAGCCCTCTTCTATACATTCATTGGAAACTTCCGGAGAAGTGACAGTGGCATCACCAATTTCATTCCGTACTGATGGCTGTGGTGGCTCCACCGATACTGGCAAGGCAGTCCCATCCTTTATTTCATCTGATGTTGATAGCTGCTCCACCGTCTTCCCAGCCTCAAGGTACATCATCAAATTCCCAAGCTGCAAAATGGTGAGAATTTAACAATGGAAGTCGCGTTAGTTTAGGCATAGTCTAAAATATTAAGGCTGGACACAACCAAAAGCTATCGAGCAGTAAAAATTGTATATCAAAAACGAAAGGTGAAAATTTTATATCACCTGCTCTTCTAAGTCGCTAATTTTATCGTCCCTTAGTTTCAAAGTCTTTCTCTCCCTGAAAGTACAAGGCATGGGGACCAATTACGCAATAATAGCAGAAAAACAACAGCATATAAATTTACACCATCTCCGGAACATCTACAAAATGTTTCAGCAAATTTACTGAGATGTTAAAGGGTAGGCCATGGGATCACAATATTTATGGTCTCCTTATTGTGATCAGACAACTATTTGTGGACAATATAACCCGGATCTCTACGTTGCCTCCATTTTGATAGTGCCAAAATCTTAAACTCTGACAATATAAAATGGAGCCATTCAAAATTGGTGGGGCATCCAACCGTGAGAAAATTTTTAGCTTCATATCAACGACAATAAGGCATAAAATCCAAAGAGAGAATATAAACTTGAAGATGTATATCCAGGTCCAAGTAAAAACAAATCAAAGGTCAAATTGCTTACTATCACATCAAGTCACTGAACTTACGATGATGGGAAAATACAAAGAAAACAAGAACGAGGGGGACAAATCAATACCTCTCTTCAGATTCAAGTATCTTTGCTTTCCAAATCTCCTGGTTTTTTAAAAGGTTTTCATTAAGCTGCATGTAGAAGAAAAACGATCTTTAGATTGCAAGATTACTGAAAAAAAATGACCCACTAAAAAGCACATTGAGATTCTCAAGTCTACTCTAGAAGTACAAGAGGTTTGCACTTACATCATCAAGAAATTTCTTCTCTTTTACACACCTGTCCAGCTTGGCCTGCAATTTCTTTAGTGGAACAGCCTTCTCCACAGCATTAGAAATTTCTTGTTCAGTTCCTTCTTTAACTTCTTGAAGTAACGACTCAAAATACTGAAATCCAAATAGCATCAGTGTACAGTGAAACATTAAATGTCACCTTAAATAAGTTTAAACAGAAAACTATTTGCAAGGAATAAGAAAATTCAGCTTACCACTTTTTGGTTCTCAAGTTGAGTAGCAAGCAGTTCATTGTATTCATTAACAATCTGCATATAATGGTACACAATGTGAGAAATTCAAATTACAAAGAACATAATAGTATAACTATGGCCTGTATTAAGTGACATGAAGGGTAAAATCATTACAGCTTCTACTTTACTGTTCAAAAGTGCCTCACTGTATTCAGAATCTACGCAGTCACAACTTTGACATCCAATAAAAGGTGAATTCAATTCAACCAATTTCCCATCAGTTTTGGATTGAATTAGGCGGTGAACATAATTGTCTCCAGCATAATCCCACACACGTTGTGTTTCCAATTCAAGAGAATAACAATGTTCTGTTTCTTTCCAATGCCTTATTGCATGTCCTTCTTTATACCTACATCAAATTTTTTAGCAAGCAAAATGTATGATGAAAATACATACCTGAGCTAGAAATCTTTATTTTTTTGGCCAAAAGTGATATAATAAAAATAAGAGGGTAATGGTCAAGCGGAGAATTGTTACCTCCCACAACCAACAAAGCCACAGATAACACACATCCAGAGATTCTCAGAAGTTTGACAAAGAAAACAGTTGGACTTTTCAGGCTGTTGCTGACAATATCGACATACCTGTCATAACATGTGGTAGACAAGTCGATAAATATTTAGTACGTACCTTGTAAAGTCATTTGCAACTATTTATTAACCAAGCAAAATCTAGCAGGAAAGTGCAACAATCTGTAGTAAGAAAGCTGTAGCCAAATCATAGACTCTAATTTAACCATGGCTTGGCTACAAAGAGAACTGATCATATAGGTTCACCACCTCCTAAGCATCAGTACAGGTTAGATGTATCCTGTCACAAGTCATGATTCATGCAGATCTTTACCTTTTATCTATCACAAATGGGAACATCTATTTTTAAGGATTTTTACAACGTACTTGGATAAGTGAGTTTCTCAACGTGCTTTATTTTATTTTTTTTGGCTCTAACTGCTTCACCACTTGCACGATTTGGTTTCTTTATAAGCATCCTTTGTAGTGTAATTATAAGGTCCTACTGTAATTATAGAGTCTCACTGTAATCTTTTTGCTCTCTTCTACTATCACTGGTTTCCGCTTTTGACTTTTGTGAATGATCCTTTGTCAATAATAGAGAGGGCTAATACATAACTGGGGAATAAATACCCAGCAGAGGTAGAAAATTGGCAGGTGTGATATACATGGTAAACTCCCAAAGAATTCATGTATTACTACTATATAAGTTAATTGATTTTTTTACCTTTCACTGTGCATGTTCAAAAGCATCAAAAGCAATTCTAGATGGATCCTAAGGGTAAGGACCCTTAACTTTTATTTTATTGTAACCCTCATAAGAGGGTTGAAGAGGGAAGATGGCCTGCAAAAGACAGTCTAATTACAGAGGCATAGAAAGAGACATCTTCCATTAGCATATTTGTCTATCTACTACTAGAGTGATAGGCAAAAAATAAAAGAATATGCATTTTCCCTTGAAGAAGGTAGAAACCGTTTCATAGAAATTATATGATGGACTATGTCTACATCAGTAGATTTTCATATTTTTTGTTTGATACTACCCCTTCATAGATTAAACTTTCACCAATTACAGTCCTTTTGAAGAACTAACTGCAACAGGAGCCCTAGCCTGGGTCTAACTACCCTGGGAGAGGAGATTTGATATAGTCACCTGTTTCAACTTCCATGAATCAAATACAATATACACACTTATCAACGTGAGGATTTTAACATTGTGAAAGAGGGTTGCCAACTTGATTTTTACTCACGACCTCTCCCACTCCTAGAAATAATTCCCCATGGCAGAAGCAGAATTCATGGTGCTTGAAAAAGAGGATATGAAGTGGAAAGAACCTATGAACTTTATGTCAAGGGCATTATATTCAAATAATAATCTAAACATACATTGTTCACAGGGAACAATGCATAATGCTGGAAAACTTTGATCGAGTTCCATCACTTTGTACATAGGGTGGATTGCGAGTCTTATAATCCTAGAAACAAGCATGTGATATAGCATGCTAGGGAAGGGGAATGAAATGAAAAGGAGGTCCAATCTATTTAGTGTGCTAACTTCTGAACATGGTCTTGCACAAAAAAGAACAGGGAAAAAAAAGAGGGAACTCCAAAATTACTTACAGGACACAATCAGGCACAAAAACACAAATATTAAAGGGGAAAAAATAATAAGTTGAAAGAACTTGCAAAAATACTTACAGGACATGAAGAATCTGTCCATTTTGAAATGCAGGAACAATGAAATGAATGATTGCAAATAGTCGTGAGGATTCCTTCCATATCTTGGTCCAGTCTCTCTGTAAAACAAGGTTAAGTTAGAAATCTACATGTTCAAGACAAAAAAAAAAGGTCGTACCCAGTGCACAAGGCTCCCGCTTTACGCAGGGTCTGGGAGAAGAGGTGGGGGGGATGCAACACGAGGACTTCCCAGGAGGTCACCCATCCTAGTACTACAATTCACATTTTCACATAGATCCATTTTGTGTGCTTCTGTGCATACATACCAAGACAAACTGGACATGATGGCTGCTCAGTTGAGCTTCCTGATGATGCTTGCGCATGTTCTATCGAACCAGTGTATTGAACATCTACCGTGAAAAGAATACGACAAACCTCCACCTGTATCAAACCCCAGATAAATAGGATTACAACAATAAAAAGCTTAAAACGGTGTTATATGTGGAACTTTTGTACAACTCCTGCGAAGTCAATGCATCATGTATCTAAGTCTATAGGTACAGACTACAGAGTATAGAGTAACCTCAAGCGACGAGAATCGTCTCCCGTTGAAATGCTTGTAAAAATTATCTGTCGAGTCCTGACTATCAAACCTTATCAAAATGCTGTAACGATCCTCCATCCCGTCATTCCTAAACACAAAACAAGAAAACAAAATCAAGATGAAATCCAACAACAAGAAAAAAGGAAATACGAGGACCAGAACTGAAAATACTTTCAAAGATGGAACCTGACAATCCGCATCTCCAAAATATGCTGAATAAATGAACCACAAAACTGGCAGAAGTCCGCATATGTCATGTGATTCGGAACTCCAAGCACACAA